CGAATTTTCGTTTAATTGAATTATCATAGAACAAAATTTTTTATTTAGGTATTATGTAATATTTATTGAACCGAATATGTATATTTATAGAATTTTTAGATTGAGAATTTTTTCTCAGACGATTATTTTTTAGCCGAATTTGCTTTTAGTAGAATTTTCATTTAGCCGAAATTTTATTTAACAAAATTCACCTAGAAAAAAAATTTCTTCAAAGAAATCAATTTTTTTAAAAAATTTTTTTTTTTGATTCAAAGAAAATTTATTTGCTTTAAACAAATTATCTTTGATCCAAAAAAATTATCTTCGTTTCAAAGAAACTTGTTATTTAATTCAAATAAATGTTTCTTTGACCCTATATATCAATGCTAGAATTTCTTTGATTTAATGAACAAATTTCTTTGAAACTAAAAAGCTTTTTTGTTGCAAAGAAAATTTTACTATGAATGAAAGAAAACAAGTCAAAGAAATTGGTTTCTTTAAATCAAAGAAATCTTTTCTCTGGGTGTTCATTTAGCTGAATAACTTTAAGTAGAATTTGCTTATAGTAAAATTTTCATTTAGAAAAAAGTTTGATTTAAAATATTTATTTGACATTTAACAGATACTAAATATTAAGATAAAATTTGTACGGAAAAAAATAGCGAAAACTTTCACTAAATTGGGGAAAACAATTAAAAAACTAAAACTAATACTATTAAAAATTTTGCTATTCTATAGTGAAACCTTTCGCTGTTCTAGGTAAATATTTTTTCCCTTTAAAACTTACAAAAATTATTTAATTATATATTTTACCTACGATCAAAATTTCTTTTGTTTCGATTTTAAAAATTTTTTTAAAATGATTCTAAAAATGAATCATGCAACTTATTTTTTTTAGAAAATAATTCTTAACATCTTCATCACCGAGATTTTTAAACAAATGCACCGTTTTTTAAAATAGGTTATTTGTTCATGAATAGAGAAAATTATTTCTTAAACAAATAATATTTTTAAAAATGATGCTTTTGTTTAAAAATCCCTGTGGTGAAGATGTTAAGAATTGTTTTCTGAAGAAAATAAGCCATGATTCATTTAAATCGAATCATTTTAAAAAAATTTTAAATAACCGATATAAAAAAAATTTTGATTATATGCAAAATATATGTAAATAAATAATTTTTGTAAGTTTTAAATTTTTTTCTTAAAACTTAATATCTATTCTTCCGATAGATATTATTAATATTTTAATTTTTTAAATGTCAAATAAATTTTTTTTACTTGAGGTCTGCGCTCATTTCTGTCCTTAACTAAATTTTATTCAAATCTTAACTATATAATAAATTTTAAACGAATTTACTTAAAACTTGGAGAGTGAGAGTGAGAGCGAGAGAGATAGAGAGAAATATGTTTTCTGTAATTTTAAATGTGAACGCGTGTAAACAATGCGTTAACAAGTACAGCATAGTTCTACGAACTTATCGCATCTCACGACATTTATAACAACGATGTACGACATCAAAAAAGGATAAGATGCGAGAGGGAGAGAGAGAGAGAGGCTTCCTTAAAAAGTGTTATTTGCCCAGCTCTGTTTTCACAGCTGCTTCAATAATAATTATTTTATCGCTCACGGTTTCCCTCTTTCATTTTTTGTTTTAGTCCTTGAATTACGTCATTTTGTCATTATCAATTATAAGGGAATGAAGAAATGATGATGGTAGTCAAAGAATTCTTAATTACGTTACTTATACTTGACTTTAATGATTCACCTGCGCAATTTTACAGGAGTTAATTATAAGAGTCGTTATTATATGTATAATATCAAGTTGAATTTGTTGATTAATGTTTGTTTGGTTCGTTTTTTTCTATATATTGTTAATTATTTTGAGAAGTTTCATGTTTTCAATTAAAGATGAAGTGTATGGTAAACTTTAGGGGGAGAAAATTATGCACATAATAAGCCGAAGTATATAAACCCAGATAGCAAAACGAACTAATCATTATTTTTGCTGAAGTTCACAAACAATATTGGATGCCTATTAATGGCAATATCGCATCTTATAATTTTATAAAATGTGGTCCACTATTGGCAATCAATAGTTGGACAAGGAATGGATATAAAAATTTCATTCAATTCATTTCACATATATGGAGATAATTAAAATATATATTTCCAACCACCAAAACGACAAAGTGCGGGAACGAAATTGAATTCTGATTTCAACAACAAAGGAGTCTATTCTGATAATGTTAGCACAGAAAATTATAAGGTATTAAAATAAGCTGCAATGCTTATCATTATAATGCAATTTTGCTTATTTTAATACCAAAATGGATTAAAATAAGCAAAATTGGATTAAAATAATAAGCGTTGCAGCTTATTTTAATGCCTTTTAATTTTCTGTGGAACCTTATAACAAGTCGAATTAAAATTGCGTCAAAAATGTAAAGCACATTTGTACACTGTAAAAAGAAGGTACTAAAATAGTATCAATTTTTAGGTATTAAAATAGAACCAAAAGGCAATTTAGTGCCTAAAGTTGGTATTAAATTAATACCTCTCGTTTTACAGTGTATTTAGTTAAGTTTTAAGACGAAAAATCCGTTGTATTTAAAATCCTAGCTGTTCCTGCTTTCGAATTATTATAAAAATACAGTTTTAAGGAGATTGTGCAACAAAAAACAACATTTAATATCTTAATAACAGAGAGACTTTAACGAAATCAAAACAAAATTCAAAAACACTTTTGTTTTGCTTCTAATCTGAATTTTCCGTTTCTTAAAGAAAACTCAACGACCGCTTTTTTAATTTTGTTCCATAAGCAGGATCATCAAGTGAACTTGTTCAGACCATAGTCCTAAACCGTCATTGTCTAATGGATTTTTAAAGTTTCGGAAACGTCAATACTTTGTCAAATTTTTACAAATTTATATATATTTTTATCCAAATCATTTTCCTGATTCTACAAAAAAAATTATTACAGCAATGAATAAAATTGTCAATAATAATTTTTCTGTCAAGAATCAAAAAAATGATTTGGATAAAAATATGGATGAACTTGTAAAAGTTTTGCAAAGTATTGGCGTTTCCAAAATTTAAAAAATTCCTGCACTTACGAAATACTTGAAGCAATGTCTTGATGTTTAAGCAGTGACGGTTTATGAATACGGTCTGAACAAGCTGTCAAACCTGTGCATGTATAGTATTTCTCGACTTTTGGAAACGTTCTAAAATCAATTCACTTGAAGTTCTCTTGCTTATATGGAACAAAGTAAAAAGAAGCTGTCGCGTTGAGTTTTCTTTTAAGCATACATGAAATAAATATTAATGTAAGATTTAACTGTTATGAATTGTCACTATATATAATGTTACATTTATAAATAAAATATAAAATAAAAATAATATGCATATTATTAAGCTATTAAATATTGTATTTTATTGCATAATCTTTTTAAAACCGTATTTTTATAATAATTCGAAAAAAGAATCAGCTAGGATTTTAAATAGAACGGATTTTTGGTCTTGAAACATCATCAAATACAACTGTGCTTTATATTTTTATCATTTCATTTTGACATGTCGTTTCTTCCCAATTGTGCCAATTAGTAGAAATAACCAAGCGAATATTTAAATTTTCACAAAAATACTTGTTTACAATTTGGAAATAGTTATTTTTTGTACAAGGGATTAATTTTAAAAATCTGGAATTGTATTTTAAAGAGTCCTAAAAATGACTAAAAATATAACGTTTTCTTTATACTTCATAACAAAACTAAAATGATTTCTGATGTTTACCTATACTACAGAATCCCTATCCCTTTACAACTAAAACGTTTTTATACGATTGGCTCTCTCCCACTTTACAGGAACAAGTCAAATTTTTATTTTTGATGTCATTATTTATTTTGTTAATTAAAAAAGCACTTGTAATCGTAAGCAGTTTTGAACACAATGCACTTGTTTGTAAACATAAGGAATAAATATCCATTTTTTCCAAAGTTTCATAACTCGCACCGCACAAAATTATCATTCCGGAATTAACGACATTTTGCCCTTTGATCATATTTCCGGATGATGCTTTTCATTGTTTTTCATTACAGAAATTTTATTTGATAGAATTATTCTCACATAACAGAATTTTTATTTAATAGAATATAAGTGTAGTAGAATTTTTATTGGACAGAATCTCGGTCTAGAAGAAGTTTCGAATAGCAAACCTTCTATTGGACAAAAATTTTGATTTGGCAGAATTTACATCTAACAGAAATCTCACCTGACAGAATTTTCGTTTGACAGAAAACTGAGATTTCTGTTAAGTGATAATTCTGTTAGATGAAAATTCAATCGAATCAAAGTTCTATCTAATAGAAGGTCTGCTATTCGAAACTTCTTGCTTCTTCTAGAACGAGATTCCGTCCAATAAAAATTCTGTTCACTCATATTCTGCTCGAAAATTCTGTTGGGTGAGAATTCTGTTAGGAGGCATTTCTGTTGGATGAAAATTTTGTCCAAAGTTCTGTCCAAATAAAAATCTGTTACCTATAATACACCAGTTTAACGGAAATTCTGTGAAATGAAATTTCTGTTACATAAATTTCTGTCGATTGGAATTTCTGAAATATTAACTATTGGGAATTTTAATGCGTCTCAAAAATCACAACGACATATATGCAACATTGTCGCTTAGGTTGATATTCTCATGTTTATAGTATAGTAATGACGACCTAAGCGACAATGTGACTTGGGATCTTTTTAATCTGTAAGGCAGTATTGAAATGTTATATATTTAGAAGATTCGTTGTATATGAATGTATGTAAATGATCATTAATCGCGATACACCTTTTTTTGATGATTCGCATCCTTGTAAGCACAGCATTGTCACGGCTCGGTGTCTAAGACCGAATGGCCTTTATGTGATAAGCACTTTGGGCATTTAAGTATGTATATATATTTTTTCATTTTGAAATTTTTATATTACTTTAATAACAGAGCATATTTTTATAAAATCTCAAATCAATTTACCTGAATAATCATGTTGACGATGATGATTCCTGACGTAGGGTGGTGGTGCAGCAGCAACAACTTGTTGTTGAGGTTGCATATCCCAGTAGCCTCTGTTGTTATTAAAATTGTTGAGCTTTGGTTGTTGAGACGGCGAGGTTTGCTTGCAAGGCAACCGGGCCATGGCAGTCATCATTTTCTCGCCTCTTTGTCCTGAGCATTAAACAATCACTTTGCCGACCTGAACCTTAATTTATTGCGTCGACGCCTCAACCCCATTTCCTCGCTATTGTCTGCCCTCTACGCAAGAAAAAAGAAAGACAAAAAAAAAATTAATAATACATCATTAATAATATCATTCAAGTAGTTGATTATTTCATTTTCTATTTTTTTTTTATTTTTTTTTATCTACCCGACCTTCCGGTTCTCAATTAGCCAAATTTAATTCTGTACTTTGCGAGGATGTACATTCCTTTATTTCTTTCTCTTTGTATTATATTAATCTTTAAATATATATACATGACTCGCGACTTTTTTTTATATAGAATTCAATTTATTTCCTTTCGAGAAAGAAGAAAAAGAAAAAAAAGAAGGAATTTGTTGTAAATAACTTTTGGGTTAATCAGAAAAAAGAGAAAATAAGTTTTTCAAATATTTTTTTATTTTACGGTTATCATTATAATATTTCTGCAAATTTTTTACTTAAAAGTAAAACCGGAACTGTACGAAGTTTCTCAGAATTTCTGTCAATTTTTACTCCAGAAATAGTAAAATTTACTAATTTTGGAATAATTTTTACTATTTCAGAAGTAAATTTTACTATTTCTGGAGTAAAAATTGACAGAAATGTGCAGAAACTGCCGACAATTCAGGTTTTACTTTTAAAGTATAACAAAAGTTACTTTATTCGTTTTTCCATTTTTCTCCGTGTAGAATTAAAACTCAACTAAATAACTATTCAGTTTAATTAAAATTTGAGTCAAGAATTCTATTCAGAAATTCAGTTTAATGAAAAATCGTGAATTCAATTACTTTTTCAAAAAATAAAGATTCTATAAAATAGAAATTATGTCGTTTAAAAATTCAGTTACCTAGAAATTCTCTTTTAAAGAAAAATTCAGTTAAATAAAAATTTTTCAGTCTGAAAATTCATTTTTGTTCTATGTAAAAATTCAACTTTATAAAAGTCCTTTAAAATAAAATGCCTCATAAATTTTTAAACACACAGGAAAATCAAATAATTTTTCAAAAATATATTTAATTCTGTTTAGTTAAAAAGTTATAATTTAAAACCACATAATTTTTTCACGAATTTTATATATATATCTGCCTATATATAATGTTGGGCAATATTAAAGCGTTTTTTTCCCCAAGATCTAGATTGTAATGAAGAGAATTTTTTTTTGTTTGTCTCTTTTTTTTTTACTGCAAAACGGCTGACACCGTTACCCATTTCTTTCTCCAAAGAGAGATTCATAAAAGGATCGAAAAATATATATATATATAGTACACCTACTTCCATTGACGGTGGGAATTGACTAAGCTTGGTAAAGAATTCAAGGAAACTATTATATGCTTTTATAAATGATCGTTTTGAACGAGAGATGAAGAGAAAAACTTGAGAGAGTTTCTTTTTCCATTGGGATATGATATGATGTTGATGATGAAATAAAAAAGAAAAAAAAAAATGACTAGACCACGCGCGAGCAAAGAAATGAGAGAGAATCCTGGTCCCTGACGTGATCAGTAAAATATTTCTCTATATTTATAGGGGGAATGGAATATATATATATATATATATATATATATATATATATATATATATATATATATTTTGACAATTTTTGTCTAACGAGAATTTTTAAAATCATTCGAGTTAAAATACTTTATATAGTTACACATAATATATGGAAAATTTATAATTATTTGTAGAAAGAAATTTTACCAAATCTAAAAATACGAATTCGATTAAATATAATTATTTAGTTTACATAAAATTTGGTAAAATAATTTACTAAGTTAAATAACGAATCGGTTAAATGAAACTTTGATGAAATAAGAATTCGGTTAAATATCAATACGAATAAAAAAATTGTAACAAACAAGAATTAGAAGTTAAATATTAAGAATACGGTTAAATAACAATAAGTTGGCTGAATAACAATTTTATTAAATTAGAATTTAGTTAAATAAAAATACAGTTGATTAAAATTTCAATAAAATAACAATTCGGCTAAATAGTATTCAAATGAAATAACAGTTCGATTGAATAAAAATTTTAATTAAATAAGAATTTGGTTAGATTGTTCGATTGAAAAATTCAGCTAAATAAAAATTTGATTGAATAAAAAATTCAGCTAAACAACAATTAAGTTAAATAATAATTTGATTTAAGCTATTCCAAAAGTTAGGTAATTTTAACACTTTTTGGAGTAACCTCACCAATTTAAATGAAACTTTTAATATAACGCTATTTGTTGGTCCAAAAAACCATTTTTTAAGTAAAAACAATTGTTTATTTAAAAGATACAGTTATTTTTTAATTATTTTAATCAGCTGTTATGGCTGCGCGCGACGTTTCTTGTTTTCCAGTCAGTGATACCAATAGCGCAGCCATATAACAGATGATTAAAATAATTAATTCAATAATTAAAATTAATTAAAAATTTTTAAATAAAAAAAAAACAAAAACAATTTATAAAATTTTGAGCAAATTAACATCTAGAACCCAAATTTACTTTTTTTATATGAAATCATAAAAATAAGGAAAATTTTGAACTTTTTTTTTTGTCAAAAATTCTTTTGTATTTAGTTCAATTTCTTTATTTTTCTACCCCCTGTTTTTTATATGGGGATAAATTGCCCCAAAAACACTGTGTTTTTTCGAATTTTTAAGAAAAATGTTCATAAAAAATAAAAAAAAAACCTTCTAAAAAATCGTTTTTTAGGTTTATTGTCTAGAATAAACCTTTATGAAGAGATTCGCGATTGGAATTTGAAATTATATATTACAGGTTGTCCGCAATCACCTGGTACCTGTAGCAAAAAGAAGTCACCTTTTAGAGGACGCCACCTACAGCTAAGAAATTGAACTAAATACACTCAAAAATATTTTTTTAATTTTCTCTATGTAATGTGCAATAATGTCCAAAAAGAATTTTTGCAATTTATTTAATAGCCACACACAAAAAAAAAGTTTTGATCTGGGGGTCTGACTATGCCTACTTTATGTTTTTTGGATCGCTGAATCCGAATTCGAGGTCCGTTTTACCCCATCAGATCAGGATTTTGAGATAACCTCAAAAAACCAATATGGCGGACACTTTTTCGAAAAATTCATCGGATTTGCCTGAAACTCGTTACTCGGGGGTTTATGGGGTCGCTGATCACGAATCTAATGTCAGTTTTTCAAAATTCAAAATGGCGGATCCAAAATGGCTGACACATTTTTGAAAAATTCATCGGATTTCGGTTTTCGGAGTCGCTGATTACGAATTTGAAGTCAGTTTTCAAAAATTCAAGATGGCATGGTAACAAATTTCTTAAGTGTATCTGCCATGACGTCATTTTTTGAAAAAAGTGTCCGCCATCTTGGATCCGCCATCTTGAATTTTTGAAAACTGACATCAGATTCGTGATCAGCGACCCCAAAAACTCTCGTGTAACGAGTTTCAGGCAAATCCGATGAATTTTTCGAAAAAGTGTCCGCCATATTGGTTTTTTGAGGTTATCTCAAAATCCTGATCTGATGGGGTAAAACGGACATCGAATTCGGATTCAGCGACCCAAAAAACATAAAGCAGGCATAGTCAGACCCCCAGATAAAAACTTTTTTTTTTGTGTGGCTGTGTTATATTCGAATTAATAATTTCTTTACTTAAAACAAATACCATTTAATTGACTCAAATAATAATTATTTAATACAAATCCTACCAAAAATTTCCAAAGTTCACCACTGGCGTACTTTTGGTACCAGTATCGCGACAGTAATCAATTTTTAATACACGGAGAAAAATGGAAAAACGAATAAATTAACTTTTACTACTTAAACGTAAAACCGGAACTGCCCACAGTTTCTGGCAATTTTTACTCTAGAAATAGTAAAATTTACTATTTACTATTACTATTTATTAAAAATTGTCAAGAAATTCGCAGAAACTGCGGGCAGTTCCGGTTTTACTTTTAAAGTAGTAAAAGTTACTTTATATACGTTTTTCCATTTTTCTCCATGTAGGGAATAAATATTTATTTGATAATATAGCCAAGTAACCGATTAGGTATGAATCAAACAAATTTTTTTCATATAAAAAAAATATACTATACCAGGTTTCATTTAAATTGTTGAGGTTACTCCGAAAAATGATAAAAAAAAAAGTATCTGGACGAATGGTACATATATGTATACATAAATTCCAGTTTTTTGCGATCAACGATCGATATTAACGGTTTATTTCATTACATAGCCAAAATGTGAAATAGATTGAGCGTGAATGAGAAGCAAAGCATTGGTAAAGCGGTATTTTCTTGAAAGAGCAAGACCGTTCAACTTATACTTGAACAAAAAAAAAAAAAAAAAAGAGGTGTGAGTCCTCTTTGAAGACCAAGTATATAAGTGTATGTGTTCGATTGTACACAGTCTCTCTTATGCAATCGTACACTCGTACGTTATAGACACTCAGAGAGGGGCATCAAAGAGGAGAGAGAGAGAGAGAGAGAGAGAGAGAGATGATATCAAGTGTGGCAAAAGTTTCGATGTGTGTTCGATAAACGGGATCTTGAGGAACGTACATATCTATATATATGTATATAAGTGACTCTCAAACACAAAGATTGGCATTCTGGTCTCAAGTGTTCGCTCCTCAAGTGGGATCGCGACACCGGAAGTACTTAGCAATCAGTATTGCGCCAAAGAGGAGAGTTCGTTTTAGGCACGTGTTCTAGCGTTTTCGTGGCGCGCACACTTCGACAAGACACTTCCTTTTGTTATACCACCCGACTCTCTCATCCTCTCTCTCTCTCTCTTTCTCTCTAATCACCCTTCTATATATACAACGGTAGACGTTTCAAATTGAAAAATTTTCTTTCATGCAAATAATCGTGATTAATTTTGACTATAAATAATCAAATAAATATTTATTTACTAAATAAATAAAAAAAATGAAATTAAAAATTTTTATTTAACTAAAAAAATAAAATAAATTATTATTTGTATCAAATAATTATTAGTTTAGTCAATTTAAGTAAAATTTTGTTAAATTACCGTGGTACTCAGTGCCAGTTTTTAATTATTAAAATATTTC